TTATGGTGAGTTGATAGGATCGGAGACTACCAGCGTAGATTACTGCCAAACAGTGTGGGCCAACATGCCTACCTAACAATATTTTTAATGGTTCTACCACTACAGTCATCGTTATTTCCCAGCGAGAGACCTTATACGCTGCTATCATGTGGCCTAGTTTCCTATGGTGGCTAGGGGTGGCTTAGGCAAGGTTTGTTCCTCAGCCCCACAAAGCGTCTCGTTCCTCCTCCGGAACGTTCGAGTCTGGCTGGGTTAGTACAAAGGCTACTGAGCTAAAAAATCCGCGATGAGGTGTTATGTAGGGCTTGAAGACAGAAAGAAAATGTACTGGAGTGAGAGACCCAAGCTTCCCCTTAATGATATGCATCATAGGGCTTGCCTTTGTAAACGTTCTTTAACTTATGTCGGTGTCCAAAGTGGAGGACAGCATAACACCTGAACCCTTCTCTCTGCTCATCTGTGGAATAATGATACTTTTAGTGGCGTAGTTAACTCAATTAGTTCATGGGTTTGTGGGGTGGGGGAGGGTAATCGTAAGGAACAGTTATTTGTGAAGAGCTGAGAGGGAAGTGGATCGATGATCGTTGACCGAGACACTTCAGGTGAGGAGGCTGTCCATGCAGATGACTTTCAGTGGATATCAGCGTGGAACTGCTAGACCTCTAAGTAAGCTCCGAACGAAAAGGTGAGATGTTTGGGTATTCTCACTTCCGAAACTTTTTCCGCAGAATGATGTGTGGGGCCCTGTCAAAAGCTCTAGCTACATCAAGAAGGAATCTGGGTACTACGGACTTATTGTTCAGGCCAGCTGTCCAATCTTCTCAAGTGGTCAATAAGTTGGTGAAACGAGACTCCCATCCTCCAAAGCTAAATTTGGTGTGGTGGGTGATTCTTCTCCGATTGAAGAATTCGAAGGCAGCGTAGGCCGTCAGGTTGCCGGTACCTAGATAAGTGTATGTAGAAGAGCTACCGGTGTGTAGCCGGTTGCGTTTTCACTGCCACTTCTTCTAGATGTTGGTGACAAGTTAGCTCACTTCGTCTTTTTCGGTATCTTGTTTCGCTCATCCAGAATTTCAAACGGGTAGCATCTGGCGCTTTCTAAAGGGAGCTTAGGTGACAGGCTGGAAGTGGAGACCTAGTGGTCTCGTCACTTATGAGACTTTTTCTAAGCATTCACCAAGTGGAGTGGCACTTAATGTGTCTGTCCACGGGAGTAAATAAGATAGAAACTCATTCCTTGTCCTATTGTCTCCTTAGCATTCTGCCTTTTTTGAGTTAACCTCAGATAACAAGTAGGGATAGTTTATTTGAAGTAATGAACTGTACGAACGCACACCATCCTCATAGGCGACAGCTGAATGTAATTGTTCTCAGTGGAGCTGAGAAAATTCGGGGAGAATAAAGCAGCACGCCATGTGTAGTCTCCTAGATTATGCAAATATCTGCATATCACCGGTCACAAATATCAGGTAAAAACCATTTCACTGCAAAGCGGAAGCAAAAAGTAGCACAGTTACTGTCACTTAGCACCAGCAGTAATCTGACGATGGCGATTAGACCGCAACACTTATGTTGTTGAATCGCGTAATCAGTAGGAGTACACAGTATGTCAGACGTTGATTATAAATAAAGCTGAAAGCGTATGAACACTCGATGGATTTGTGCTGTCTATAGACAGCGTGCTGAACTAGATTTAAATACTGAGATGGGCGGGGGTCAGAACCGCATGGCGTCACACAATACACAGCGCTTGTTAAGTCTACGTTTTTGAAACCAGACATTTGAGTAAATTGGGCCGAAGATGTAACTCAGTTCAGCAACTATTGTCATATCACGGTCAGTGATATGTAAGGTCTCGTCATTAAACCATTCAGTATACCATCAAAACCCACGCTTCATATTAGGTCGGTCTTGGTTTGCTTCATTGCTACATAGGTGATCGTGGGGAGCCACAGAGCCTGCACGTTTGGTTCCAAATGGCATTTCCTGCTAGCACTGGGGCCACGGATTTTGTGTGAAGTGCCGAAGTGACCGTTGCGCAACAGTTAGATAAGGAACATGTCTATTGAAAGAAAGAAAGAGAAAGAGATGCAGATATGAGTGGATATGTGACAGTTTATAGTATGCTTATATACCCATCTGGAGTCCTGTAGTACACATAGGCTGTAAGCAAGAAGCACCTGTAATCTAACGAACTATGAGTAGCAGTTCTACCTATGACAAGTCCGTTAATTAAATGGTTACCTCTGTCCCTTCAGGTATCCCTTGACCAGGAAAGCTACCGACCATTCCAAACGACGAACTTACTCCACTGAGACAGACGTAGAACCCGTGGAACCATTGTCCCCCGTTTTTTGCAATACGAATTTTGGAGTTTCACATGGGTAGAACTTGACTCAAAATGCCACATTCAGAGAACCAATCCATTCCACAAAGGGATGCCGGCGTACATGCGCATGTATAAGCTGTAGGTACCGGAATTCCTGTAAGTCTCTCCCATTTTCTGAAAGAGAGGTGATCAGATCAAGCTATTCCGACTGTCATATCGTGGCAAAAGAGGTGGTCGTACACCCGTAACTATTGTCAGTAACCTCAACATTGGAATTTCATTTTCCTTCTGCCAGAATTAACTGCCTGCGAAGCCATCACAACAAAATTCACAGGCCGCAATCGAGCCAAAGCAACCTTTTGAATAACGTTGTGTTATCTGCGCCTCAAACTTGAAGGTTAATACTGCAGTATTTGTCACCAACCGACAGCTGCCAATCATATCACAGTAGGGGACACGATTCACTTGATGAACTGGACATGAAAATTGAACCTTGAAGCGGCTTGAACATCAACCCAGCCCAGAAATACTTCCAACTGGTACTGCATCGTCGCCAGGACTGTTCGAGTGCTATCGTTCTTGGCTATCCTAGAAGATCATTTACCAAAAGCGCCTTTATTAGTCCATGCATACACGCTTGGGGTTTTCGCTTAAAGTCGCCTATCAGGTGGGCAAGAGTGAGGGTCACTTTCCTGGAGGTAAGCTACCTCCGGAACCCTCTCTTCTTTCTGTTCTTTATGTGGTTTATGGATTTCACACCACCTAACTTTAGTGGCGACGAAAATTAGGCCACAAACTACAAGCGAAGTCAGCGGAAGGATCGAAACTGTTCCGTACAATGGAGCTTAACGTGACAGTGCCAGCCCCCAGGATTCCTGCGTCTGCCACGTCAGGGATAGCATTTACCCAAACCAGTAAACCCATGTGGCCAAGGAGATAAAAATACACCCCTTTAACATCCTGTTCGTAAAGAGCGAAAGACGGAGAAAACGTGGATGTCGACAAGCAAGCATACTGATACATGCTATATCTGAACCCAACTCACCAAGAGCCAACCACACAGTAGCCAACAGAAAGCGAACCTCTGACTACTGTGGCGTTTGTAACGCATCAGTGTTAGTGGCTCAAAAAGCCTTTGTGTTCAGTATCTGTCTGAAGTGGGCGCACTGTAACTGTGATGAGCGTTTGCCAGGTCAGTACCACAGCCGCATGATGAGGGGCTGATGTGAGTGGGAGCGGAACTTAAGCCTAAAATGCCGGAAATTAGCTGCCATTACTATCGGCAAACTAAGGAGCCTGGCACAAACCGAGATATCACCAGATATGAACCGCCAAATTCTACCCACTGAAGCAGGACAAGCTCCATATACACCAAGTCCACAAGTTCACAAAGGTGTCATCTCTTGGTATAAGAAACTGACGGTTTCTACAGCATGTGGAAATCAGTAAAGTATTTGCTTCTTGCGTCGAAACGATACACACAATCTGACGAAATTGAGGAGCCTAAGGGAATTGGCTGTATTGAGGATAAGTGGACAAAAGGGAATACGGGAAAGGGTGGGGTGAAAATGCTGGGTATGAAACACAATACCCTGCCCCACGGGTCAAGGGAATGGACTGCATCCCATTGTTCGGTGTCCACACACCAGCAGACTCAATCTTAGAAAAAGAGCAGTCTGAAAAGGAAACACTGGGTGACAACCGAAGAGTCCTTACAATTGCAGACCGATATCGTTACTTAGCATACTGTTCAAGATACTGGAAATCGTGATTTGATGCGCTTTTTGGGACTTTTCTGACGGAAACAACGTCGTTCATCCCATCCAACGTGGCTACAGAAGCAGACTACCATATGCCACAAACTTGATAACCACCTGGAATGACTGAACCTGCAGGTGGACGACGGGCAACCAATTCTCGTTATCTTTCTGGACTCAGCTAAAGCTGTCTATACCACCCTAGGCTACTTTAGGACCATGTTTTGCGTTTGAAGTCCAGATCAGCTGCGAATGGTTCGGATTTTTACCGGGGTAACTGTAAATGATGTATCTTCGCACACCAAGAGCCATAAAAACAGGCCACACCCCAAAAATAATGCGGCTATCGAGGTATTCGTTCACATAAGGCTGTGGAAGGAAAAGAGGTAAGTTGTTATCAGCTTACAAGATAAACCACCGTCTGGACCACCAAGACAGAATTATCGGTCCGAAAGTGACAGTTTCGCGGGAACCCCATTTATTTGCCCCGCCATAGGGCAAAGACGAGATTGATTTCTGACTTCATCTCATATCCCCTGTATACCTTGTGAAGCGCTCTGCCGAAGGAAGAAACCATAGCAACATCAGTTGCACCCATCAAACGACTGCTGGGCAAGTACGTGAGAACACACGGCTAACCACGAACATTCGCCAGTAGCAACTGAAAGTGTGTCCATCCACCCCTGTATTTTCCTGCCCTATTATGTGCTATAAGACCTTCTCCCTCTCTATATTATCACTAGTAACATTTATTTTTCCATATGAACTTTTCACTCTTTGCATTTCTCCTACCGTGAGGTCAACTACCGAAACTCTCCACCTCAGAAAAAGGCATCCAACTTCTTCCATGGACATAGTGAAGGAGAAGCAAGACCTTAGATAACATCTGCTGTGAGGATTAAAACAAAATAACTGAACAACTGTTCCCGGTGCTGAATACTGTATTTCGAAAGTTGCATCCTAAGCACACTATTTAAACTACAGTTGCACGTCAAGGGCGTGTTTTCGCTTAAATTAGGCATGACACAGGCTCCAGCTCAAGAGAAGCTAACGCGTATCGCTATCGTTAGTAGTGATAAATGTAAACCGAAAAAGTGTCGCCAAGAGTGTAAAAAGTCATGTCCTGTGGTGCGTATGGGTAACTGAATATGCCAAATATTTTTAATTCTCGAAGGTAAACTGTGTATCGAAGTCACTCCAAATGACAAGATCGCATTTTTATCAGAAGAATTGTGTATCGGGTGTGGTATTTGTGTTAAGAAATGTCCGTTTGAAGCTATTTCTATCATAAATCTTCCTAGCAATTTGGAGAAAGAAGTCACTCACCGATATGGTCCAAATTCTTTCAAGTTACATCGTCTTCCGATGCCTCGTCCTGGCGAAGTTCTTGGCTTGGTCGGAACAAACGGTATTGGCAAGTCTAGTGCTCTTAAGATTCTTGCCGGCAAACTCAAGCCCAATCTTGGTCGTTTCAAGGTGTGCTACTGAATTTATCATTTATAATTATATCTTTGTTGTCGCAGCATAAAGCTAACTCAAATCTTAAGCTCCAGCCTCAGCATCATTGAGACGTTGAGATTTCTGGTTCTTAATGTAAACCTTCATACGTTTAATATTGTATTCTAAGTGAGGTGTGAGTACTTGCAAGTGGTTAAATCTGGTGTAGTTATTTTGCCAGCGCAAGCAAAGTAGGTCGGATAACTTCAGTGGTGGTTTGTTGAAGTGTAGTTTCGTAAATAAAATACCTGAGAACTTACCTTTATGCTATTAGTGGGTGGAGATATGGTTTATTGTCTTAGACTTTCGAATTTACAACCGTGAAGTTCAGGGTTCAAATCTCGCTCAGTCTTCGAAATAGGCACCGGTTAGTATCATAAACCTACACACAATAGGTGTAGGCAATAGCTCATTGTAAAAGAAGTGCCATGAGTTGGTTTTTCGTCAGGATGAATTAAGTTAAGATTCCGAAGATGATCCTTATAACCTCGCTTGAGATTTTTATCAAGTCATGCAATAAGTAAATAACCGCTTTCATTCCTTAATTTACTGGATTGCAAAGCAATTTGTCTAAACATTCATAAAAATTACGCTGTACTCGTGTGCTGAGGAATAGATAGGAATAGTTTGAATTGCCGCATCTTGGATCAGATTGCTCCGTTTTATTGGTCTGTTACTCTCTTTTTGTCATATAAGTTTATGAGATGGAGCAACATGATATACTATCGTCCGGCTTCTTCGGATTCTGCTGTATTTTACTAACCATATGCTTATTTTGAGGAAAGCAAACTTCTCCCCTAAGAACTGTTGATTATTTTACGTCATATTCACTACAGTTTCACCAAGAGGTGCCAATCTTGGTGAAAATAAGCGCTTGTTTTCCTGATAGTTCGTGCTACATTTTACTTAATACGGGTGAACGAGGTTACATGCGTATTATTTTCGTGTCTGTGTTACGAAATATCAGATCGCTAAATATCTGAAATCAATAAAAAATGTCGATTATTCTTTACTGACTTCAAACAAAATTTCGTGGACTCGACTTTCTTTGACATCATTGTTTTAGTTGTTTCGTTCTTGTGATTGTTTTTGCTTCATGTTGAAGTACTGAGATATAGCAACCTGAAGACATACTACAAACCTACAGGTAGACAAATTAATTTACAAAACTGCATAGAAGCACATCAGTTCATGTTTCTCCTCTTAACGACAGCACAGAAGAAGAAAGTGAAAAAATATAGAATAATATTCAAATAAACATAAAAGGACATAGGAAGGTACGGGAAAAAGATTGGTAAAATCTTCAAATTTTCTCTGATAAAAAGTGGAAATGCTTCAGCTGTTGTGGTCGATTTTAAGCCGAAATACTGAGGGTCTCTAGAAATGTGTTCATAGAATATCAAAAAACCCAACTTAATGGCTTAAGACAATAGTCAAAGACTTTGTAGCCTGGACCCTATCTTTATCTGGTCACCCTTAGTTTCTTTCGAACTTATTTGTACTTCAACTAAGGTCATATTTCGAGGTAAGTGATAGTGGACATGCGCAACATGTGATCAAGCCACCTTGGTTGATGAAGGGTTCACAGCCACACCAACTGATTTGTCTTCTATGCTTAGTGCTTTGAGTTTAACCTCATCGTGTTGCACTCTTCGCAAGCAATTTGACGAAGGCGTATGCTACCAAAGATCTGTATCATCCTCACGTCTTCAGTTTTCAATAGTTGTGTCTCATAGCCTTAAGGAAGAGCAAAATAGACGGATATGTAGTACTTTTAATCCTTAATGATTAGTGAGATCTCTCTCCAGAAATCAAAGGGTAGTTCAGTTTAGCAAATCTCAAATAGGCGTTTTGTATGTGTGCCAAAATGCTGTCAACAAGTAACCTATCAAAGCTGGTGCAAATTCCAAAGTGAACTGATCAATGCTTCTACTACTTCACTCCCTAGACTAGAAGTCGGCGTAGACCAGTAAAGAAGCATTATTATACATTAGACAAGTACGAAGCGCATGACAGAAGTGCTAAAATATTTATTCAGGGCGTTCAGAAGATTCCGTATTTTACTAATGTCTTCGTCCAATAAAACTCGTTTGCATACTTTAGGTTGATCAGGTACCCTCCTAGGGGTGATCCAATCCCCATGAAGTTCGTGCTACCTAGAGTTTTATTCACTAGCATGTGTACAGCGAAGTAAAATAAGAATAGTGATGGTAGACATTCTTGGCCTACACCTAGTTCTCTTCGCCTCAGATAATAAGTCTGCGTGAACCCACTCAACTATGTGAGCTGAAGCAGATAATCTTAGCACTATGTACTTCCTCAATACCCACTTCATGGTCAGACAATAACACAATGCCATCTTCACATCCAGAAATATTGTAAATGTCAGTTGCCTTTAAGTAGGTCTATGCTCCAAAATCTTTCGATGGGTAGAATTCTGATTCATGCACTCTTTTGAAGGCTGGTAGCTCACCTATTTTTTCCGAGTTTGTTCTCCTCCTAGGTGAAAAATGACTACTCACCCTAAAACCTTAGGCAATGTTTGTCAAATTGATTTTCCTGTGGTTTTTGCATGAAAGTTTCTATCCTTTTTTATATACTGAAATGATCAACGATGTATGCCACCTAGGTAGAGTTACTTCTTCTTGCCATTATTCTACTTAGTGTTTCAGATGTCCTAGCCACTCTCAAAGAATTTGTGGGGTGAATCACCAGGTTCTGGTGTTTTTGGAGTCTTGCATGTGAAAAAAACTTGACTTTCATGAGACCCGAAGGATCGATAACTAACTTCCTTTCGAACTGATCATCGGTGGCGAGTAACTAGAGTATGGCTATAGGTCACTTGAAGTGTTCTGTTCAGCGTTCTAGCCGCATGTTTTGAGAGATTCCTGCAAATCCATTTTTCTGGGAGATAATCAAATTAATCATCTCATCCAGACAAGTCAATTATACAAACCTAGACAATATCTGAGAATTACCTTGCGTATATACTTTCTCACGTTTGCCACCCACTGCCGTCAGTAGTTATTACGAAGACTTAGTCTGTTCACATCTAAGCTTACTCTGCTCTTTTCGTGTTCACAGGCAGTTGGAATGAGTCTTCTCCCAACTTTCAGATCAGATAAGGCTGCAGGAATCCACTGACTTTTGCCAACGTTTTGTCGTAGGTCACTATCTGTTTACCACTGCTTTTACAGAAAACTAAATATTACACCAGAATACATCAGAATGAAAATCACTTTCATATTCACATAAGTAACAGTTGCCTAGATGCCAACTTTATATTCTCATGATGGAGAATATTTGTAACTCAAGAGGATAATTTTAATGGTGTGATCTTTGAGCTAGATGATTTAGTTGTGAAGCCTTCATCGTCATTCTAGACAACGTCACCAGCCGAAACCTCAGACTTCTTCCTGAAGTATGTCCTGATGTCTACAATGACCATGAAGCCTTCACGATTGAACCATCTGTCTCAGAGAACAAAACGTCATCAAAATTGATTCCTCATCTTTAAACCGAGGATAGAGGACTTATAACTTCGTAATTCTTGGGCTCATTCAGACGTAAAAACACTTGACCGACTAATTTATGATCAAAGACTAAGAAAATGCTACGAAAAACAGACATGCCAAATTATCGTAGAACCTTGCACACAAGTGCATCGGTTCCTGTTACCACATTTCACAGTGGTACTGAGGGAACAAGCGCATTGATAAAGACTAACAGCAAAGTTGTATGAGAATAAACAACTTGAGAATAAAATTTAGTGCGAACACTAGAACTTTACAAGACATCAAAGAGTGAATACACCTTCCCCATTGTGATCGATTTTCTACCATATCACCAAGAGTCCTCAACCACTGATTCCTTTCGTCTCGAGGACCCCAACCAGATGGCCTACATCTTCCCACACGACTTAGACCAACAGTGAGGGGCTTCCTCAACTAATGTCACGTTTTGATCTGGCCACCCTGAACTCTCTTCCAATCTAATCCAACTTTCCCTAGCATAGCACACCGAGGTAGGTGGTGACTCAGTATGCGCAGTACATATCCAAGCCACCTCAGTCAATGAAGGTTCACAGCCTCGTCAATCAAATTGCCTGTTTTACCTAGTACCCTTCGCCTGACCTCAACATTTTCCATACAGTGATTCCACTAAACGCGAGCAATGCTATGAAAACATCTGTGGTCAAAAACCTGTAGCCGCTTCATGTATTCTACTTCTAACGGCCAAGTCTCACAGACGTATAACAGGGTAGGACTAACTGCAGCGCAGCACAGTGGTCCTTTGATAGATGGTCAGATATCCTGCTGGTCGGCGCCACACAACCCAAGTTGGTAAATGCCAAACAGGCTTTCTGTATCCAAACTGAGATTTCGTCAGCAACCACCCCATTTCCGGCTGATGAAGCTCCGCAAGTAAGTGAAGTGGTCGGCACATTCCACCACTTTACTCCCATTGATTAAACTGGGAGCATGTGCAACAAACGATTCCTGGGGCATCATACATTTGGCAGGTGTCTGCGAAACGCATGCCAAACATACTCAGGTTTCTGGACAACGATTTCAGAACCCTGGATTTTGTCAACGTGTTCACCTAACACAGCAACATCGTTGGCGTGTTCCAAGTCAACCAGATGATCTTCAGGGAGTAGACCAATCCCAGTGAAGTCAGACGTACCTAAGGTTATGTCCATTAGTACGTCTATGACGAAGTTAAATGGAGACGGTGATAGTGGGGATCGCTGACGGACAACACTAGTTGTCGTTGATTCACTCAACAACTTTCTATAAGCTCTTACACAACTGCATGGGTTCTTGTAGAGAGCTTTGATGACGTTTATATACTTGCTGGGTACTCGCTTCAAAGTCGTAAACTGTCACAACGCCCTAGAGTCGATGGAGTTGAAAGCATCATTCAGGTGTGTCGATTACTGGTGTGTTTGTCTGTTCGAGAAACTACTGGAGGGAATAGTCTGATCGATACATTCTCATCCAGATCTGAAACCTGCCTGGTTTTCTCGAGTTTTCTGTTTTCGAGGTCCATTTAGGTGTCGGATAAATACGGATCCAAGGATCTTGGGAGAAAATTTCTCACTTATCGTCTCCAACAGTAACTTAACATTCATGATACAAGAAGCAAAACTTATAGCATATGATACCTTTCGGCTTAGGACTCAGATGCTGTTGACAAGTGTAACCAATTCCCATTCTTCTATCACCTATCGTTCAGATTTGACATTCATATTTTTCTTCTTTTGTCTTAAGAATCCACCAGACTGGACCGAAATCTTGACATACTTTCGTGGTTCAGAATTACAGAATTATTTTACAAAAATATTGGAGGACAACTTAAAAGGAGTCATCAAACCACAGTATGTCGATCAAATCCCAAAAATTGTATCTGGTCAAGTGAAAACATTATTGGATCGAAAGGACGACCGCGGTAACCAAGACCATATTTTGGATATACTTGGTACGAAAACTTATTATGCAGTAACTAATACAGTATCTTACTCTGACTAGATCTCAAAGTGGTCACTGAACGCATGGTAGGAGATCTGTCCGGCGGTGAACTTCAGAGATTTGCTTGTGCAATGGTCTGTGTGCAGAAGGCTGATATATATATGTTTGATGAGCCTAGCTCATATTTGGATGTAAAACAACGTTTGAAAACTGCTATCGCTATACGCGAACTACTGGAGGTTTGTGATTTCACTTTCTCCTTTCTAATTCCTTTCCTTACTTTTTTTCCAAAAGGGCACAAATTATGTTATTGTTGTTGAACACGATCTATCTGTGTTGGACTACTTGTCTGATTTCATATGCTGTCTTTATGGTGTCCCAGGTGCCTATGGAGTAGTAACTATGCCTTTTTCTGTCCGTGAAGGGATCAATATATTTTTGGATGGTGTCGTACCTACGGAAAATCTGCGTTTTAGAGAAACACCACTAGTCTTTAAAGTGAGTTTTCTATTGTAAACATTGTCTAGTTTAGTGATTAAAGCATGGTAACTAGATCTAACATTCCATTAACCTTTAAACCGCATTATTCATTCCGCCCAGAAATTTGAATATGTTTGGTCTGTGCTTTGCACTTTACAAATGTGAAATGATGCTTCAGTACTGGTCTGCAGCTACTCCCAGTTTAAGGATAGAGATTGGAGTGATAAAATACGTGAGTACTTCACTTACGTGACGAGTTGGATCGGCCTAAATGGTTTGTTTGCTGAAAAAAACCTAAGCTTGCATACGAAGGCCCATTTGCCAACTTGCTTCACTCTCGGAAATGGCGAAACATCTCCCTTCCTGTGGAAGGACGGGTATACTGCTCTACACTCTGTTTTATCCCGTTATATGGCTGAGATATGTCTGTAAAAAATAGATGTGGAGGGGTTGCAAGTTTTTGATCACAAGTGTCTTCTCAGCATTGCTGGAGGTATAGTGGAATCGCGGTGTAAGGAGTGTTGAGTTTAGGCGAAGAGGTACAAGGCAAGGCATGTAAATCAGTTGATATGATTGTGCACCCACACCATTAACTTAAGTGGCCTGGACATGTGTTGCACATGCGATGTTAGTCTGAGTAAGACTGGGTTGGAAGGAAGCCCAGCCTTGTCAGATCAAGAGGTTGAGTCTGTCGATAGAATTTCTGACTGTTTGTCTGGGCCGTGTAGGGAGGTGTGGACTGCCTGGTTAGGGTTTTCAAGACGACAGGAATTAACGGTTCTAGACGTTTGACTACATGACTGAGAACCAATCACAGTGATGCGATTGTATTAAACTCTTTGCTGTCTTGGAAATTTTGAATGTTTTCAATATGCTTGATTTTCAACCTCTTCCTGCCATAAGCCTTTTTCGACTTTGATACCAGTTTTCATACGCACGTGTTCTTTTTTTGCTGCTGTGAAGTATGACAACTTCAGCCAGCGGACTCATATGCAAGGTCCTGCGTTGATTTTTTCTGTACCTGTTCATCTCATTATAATATCAGTTGTACTTATTGATATGTTGCATGATCTCGCTGATTTAATTGTTTATGTCGGTGATTGTAACACATAATTATCGAGCAAAAGCTCTTGGACTATACAAATGCAATGATCAATTTAGACAATTGTGTACAGTCAGTAAAACTCACTCATTGTACATAATTAGGTTTAAGAAATGAAACTACACTAAGTTGTGTGGTTATATTTATTTTCTTCAAGAATTTACAACTTATTTAGGGTAAGATTATAAATGAAAACTATGTAAATTGATTATACATAAAATATGACGTTAAGTGATGAACCTATGTGCTATCATTGAGTAGCGATCATGAAGCAGCGAATAAATAATCTAAACATTACTTAACCAAACATATTTATGTTTGTCGATTTCATCCTGACTCAGAATTATAGGTGAATTTTAGCCTTTTTGCTTGTATGTACAATGATCTTGGATAAATGATCTTAAAAATTCTCAACTTCTCATCATACATTCACAAAATGGCTTACTAACTATAGTCCAACCAGCTGAGTAATGTTGTTCACTTTTAAATATTTATGATACAACTTCGAAAATAAGTCTGCACTTAGTTACTGAGTTACATTTCACATGGTGGGTAAAAAATAATATAATTCAGTCTGGTACACGCTTACGTACCAGAATCTGAGCTACACTGGTTGTGTAAAGGCTAATGATACTACCTGTTTGCTGCAGCCGAGGTAGCTGGGACAGTTTAAACTCGGGATCCACCGCTTGAAAGTCGAATTCTTGAATCAATGAGTGACAGCTTCACCCATTTTATGGAAGGTTGAATAGAGAGGAATGAATTCAAACTATGGAAATCGTATGACTTATATTCTAATCAAAACTACACATGAATGAAAGGAAATTGGTAATAACTCCCACCCTTTTCATACACTCATTTTACTAGTTAACGTGTTACTACTAATAAGTAGTAAAACATTTTCACTTAAAAATGTCAGCACTGGCTTTTCGCTGTTGTTTACCAATTGAGCAATTTGAAAAATGTCAACTTAATTGAAGTTTTCCACGTTAGTTTAAACACATTTCAGTATTAAATTTAATTTTAATGGTATGGCATTTACAGCAGTTTTTCTATACTGTCAGGTATCTGAGACTGGTAATGAAGAGGAATTAAAACGTACAGCACGTTATGATTATCCAACTATGTATAAGAATTTAGGATCTTTTGAGTTAACTGTAGAAGCTGGGTCATTCACTGATTCAGAAATTATTGTTATGCTTGGAGAGAATGGTACTGGCAAAACAACATTCATTCGTATGCTAGCTGGTAATTTGAAACCTGATGGAGACGAAAAATGCCCAGTTTTGCATGTATCATATAAACCGCAAAAGATTAGCCCAAAATCTGAGAAAACAGTTCAAAATTTACTTTTGGAAAAAATTCGAGATTCATTTACTCATCCACAATTTTCAACAGATGTACTTAAGCCATTGCAAATGGAAAGACTTTACGACCAACAGGTAAGTATTAATGTTTATAGATTTGCATCATTGCTTCCATCATAATTTTTTAAAATAAGTTTTCATTTTGAAAGTGTTGGTACAAACGCAATTTATTGTATGTCTTTCTTATGTTCTTAATATTATGACTGACTGCGATAACCACTCAAAGTAGCCTAAAGTTGCATTTTGTCACTTTATGTAGTAGAAAAGAAAGGAAACCAATTCAAAGACATTAAATGTTTACAAAATGGTGTTAAGACAAGGAATAAATAAGATTTTTAGAAATAGCATGTATAATGTTCACAGAAGAGTAAGACATCAATACCTTCCGTTTACTAACACTAATTTTGAGGTGTTTTATGTATTGTGCCCAACTACTTTGATATATGTTGTAAACCCCTGTCAGAATTCTTAACTTTTCCACTCTCTTGCGTGATACTTTTCTGTATCTTTGTTTGACTACTGTGAGAATTTTTTCCACGGTGCTTTGATGAAAACCGTTCGGTATATAGATTTGATTTAGGTTAAAGACTTCATAACTTGTTCCAGCTGTCCTAATCAATTTAGACTTCGCAACATTAGTAATTGATTGTATTCTCTCATATAAAAGTGTATGCAGAATATCGACACTGCTCACTCTGTTTCTAATGTCACCACTAGCTGCTAGTATATGAAAGCATCTGTTATATTCTTATAGTGACTACTTGATATGATTTAAATTATTCATGTGTAAACGCTTAAACAATAACCTTCAGATTCCATCCCTTGATAGTCACTCAGTTTCTTGATAAGTGGAAAAGGTGGTGGGATAACGGGTGTATTGCAGCGTCGAAAATATATACAAAATGAGAGGTTGTCTATATATGTATATTTACAATGACCTTGGCTATTTCAGGCCTTTCTAGATTTGGATGTCCTATTGATTTTTGTCCCTTCAACGAATCTGATATTTACACATTGGTGCTTGCTCTAGAAACTTCGGTGCAACATGATTGGTTGTGGAAAGCTTCATGGATCTAGGGCTTTTTGTGAAGATCATGCCAATGTTATTCCACACTGTAATACCTCCTTAAAATAGAGATGGAGAGTACAATGATGTCTTTTGATTGATTGGTAAGTTTTTATAGGATCGTGATCTACTGCTGAGTCTGTGCTCTGACTTAGTTTGAAGCAACTGAAGTGAATTGACAAAAGCTGTTAAAGAGGAGAATGATTTGCTAACACTTTGAAGGAGAGTATTTGACGAATCTTTTCCTTCCTGCTACAGAAAATTATTTCCAATGTTGTACGTTATTGATTTTGCAGAAATGCTTTCAGGTCATGCTAACTAGTTGTGTGCATTTAATCGTTACTATGGCATTTTTAGCATTAAAAAGGTTACAAAAATTTGACAGCCTCAATGAACTAAATTCACTTGAGCTTTTTTGAGCAGGTAGTGTTGTCATACTCTTTTGGTTTTGGTTGCAGGCAAACCTCAGTGTTGCAAATGACAACCTGAGATCTTGTGTCGAGTTTAACCCAGAGTAATCTAGGGGTAGTTGGTCTGAATGATAAGATACTCTGCTATTAAATACATTACCATAGTCAACACATCACAGCATACTACCCCGATGATGTGCTTCTGACCGCCTGATGCACTGTGAGTGATCTGTGAATTTGGGTGAATTCGGGGTTTTCTGGCTGGTTGTTGGTTATTAGATGGGATATCTGAAGTGGAACTGACTTGCAGATGATCCTAATGTCTATTGGCTCCTAAGAACATGAATTATCTTTGATAATAGTAATCCACTATTATGCAAAGCAAATATCCCATTTGATTGTTTATGCGGGGGTTTTGAACCCATTTGAGTATATTGATGCTTGAGAATTTTTCTTGAAAGGCTGGATCATACTGAACATGCTACATCACGTTGCAAAGTCATGACAAGTACTTCGTGATTTTCATTACCATGATCTGACAGAATGTTGACATCTTGATGGGTAATAGACGGGTTACTATCAACCTCACCCATCATTGTAATATGATTTATACTATCAAGCCTCTTAAGCTCAATTTCATCTTCGCCATACCCATCATTAAAGTATTTACTAAATCTTTTTCAAAATCTGAGGGCATGTGGATGTAGATTCTGACCAGATGTCATCAAGTATTTGATTGAATTTCTCAATAATTATCAGTGTTGCTGCCTCCATTCTTTCTTGATAGCGTTGCAAAGTATTTGTAATTCTTTATCATGAAGTGTTGTCATTTTTTTTACCCGCCGCCACTTTTATAACCTCAGTCTCCACTTGTTATATTCTTGAAGTGACTATTTGGTACAACCTGGATTATATATTTGTGCGGACATTTAGTATCTGTGCATAACACATTCATTCTTCCCTCTTACTTATACCAATATAGTATAAAAATTTCCATTTATTTTATGCCAGGTTTAGTTAAGTTTTTGTAGTTTTGGCAATTTTTAAATGGCCTATAAAATATCGAAATATATTTGCCTATTTCGATACCTTTTTCTTCAATTTCTGAACTCAATTTTATCTTGGAATTATCGAGATTCAGCAGCGTAGAATTTTTGTTTCTTAAAGCATCTTCAGTGCAGTCCTGTATGTAAAGACACAACCACTTGCTTTACTATGTCTTTCAAAATTCATTTTATGAAGATAAGTAAAGTTTCACACGAGACTGTACTGCAAGTTACAAATTTTATGCACTGTTTCAGCATTATGCACTTTAGTAAGCACGCTGATAGACAAAAAATCGCTTTTGTTTAAAGCTTGTGACTCTGTTAACACATTGTGAAGAGGTGTGATTTTAGAGAACGTTTTTCTAGATAACTTGGTTATTACGACATGAAAGCCTAACGACACGATGATGAATCAAGTTTCCTTGAGGTTGAAAGTTCTATCTCTGATAAATAATTCTATAATTTTACTATAAAAATGCTTGATCTTTACTCTTCTGAGTAAGGGTTATTAACGTTTGGTCTTTATTGCATACTGATCGGTATTGATGCTGGAATCAAGTATGCACTTCAAAATTGATGTATTATCTTTCCTTTTTTTTTACGCATAAGTCAGCAGTCATCAATATTTGTTTTACCCAGTCGTTGATTATTAAGAAATGCTGTAACAAGTAATGCAACTTGCCTTCTCTTTGTCCTCTTAAGTACTTACTTTTCTTGTATCTTGTTTTCTGTGAATGCAGTGAAGTTCAACTCACTTGTTGTTAAATACTCTAGAATTCTTAGTATATTTATTATATTTTCCTTGCTTCAGTTTCATAATATAGTAGATGAACTTTTTGCATTCTCATGGTGAGATTTCCTAAAACATTTAAAATGATTTTAATGATGTATTGTTCCCCTAGCTGGATGGTTAAATCGTGAAGCTTTTACTCTCATTGTAGAAAACATCAGCTCAAACTTTGGACGGAAGTCTAAGGTTTGCGCGGGTGATGTTGTCTAGAATGACAATAAAAGGAGTCACGATTAAAACATCCAACTCAGAGAATACAGCACCATCAAAATCATCCTTCTGAGCTACAAATATTCTCCATCATCTTAAAATCCTATGGGCTTCAAACGTTTCAAATGATTATCTTTTCGAGTTGTTTTAGTTCATTATCAATGTGGATTGTTTGTGTGCTCACCATCTATAAAAAAGGCAACCAGTTGGTTTTTTCTTAGGTATCAGTTACATTATTTATGGCGCCAATTTATTCTATAGACAAGAGTATTTTATCCAGTATCTTCTCTGATAATTTGCATACGTGAGCTTTGTATAGATAAAAAAATTTTCCAAAACATTATGTATCCTGTCTTCAATTTTGCATCATTGTTACAATTTTATTTCACAATAATTGTTTTACTAATCCTTTTTGAATCTAAACTTATTCCTACATATTGCTGTAGACTATATAGACTTCATCTATATGTAACATTTCAAAGCGTATGGATTTGCATACTTAAATTGATCGGAATGTAACAATTGACTTCCACGCAATACGTTCCAGGGTCATGTAATTTTATTCTTGGCAATAAAGTAGTATTACAAGCTTTCAAACAATTAGTTGAGCTCATAGCCAAATTTAAAAATCTCTATCGTATCCAAATGTATTTAAAATAATTAATTCATGGAATTGTTTCTATTTGCATATAGTACTCAATGCTTGTTTCACCTCACCTTGGAATTTTCACATTACTAGTCTGCAGTAAACATTTTGATGTCTAGCAACCAACTGGTTCGATTTCGCAACATTCATACTTCAATCAATGTTTGATAAACAGTGATGCATTGTTTAGTTCGATTTGTGTTATTTCACATGAAGGATGCTAAAAAGGATAATGAAAGCTTCCTTGTGACCTAGTAGATGAATAAAGTGATTCTCAGTTACTTTCAGCAATATTATGGAGTATATGTTTTTAAAAAAACACCGTGAAATTAACATTGGATTAGGCTAAGATGAAACATTATTTCTGTGTTTTGTCTGCTGAATGTGTAGATGTTTAGTTACTTTGGTGAATCACTATCTTTTCGGAGTGGAAACACTTTAATTTCCTTTATTTCACAGCTATAGAATGATGATAAAAGGTACAACATCATGGTTGTGATAGTTTGTTATTTTGATAGAAATAAATTGATCTGTGAAATGATGGAAAAAATATTTGTAGCTCAGGATGAGGATAGTAGTGATTTGGTACGTTCTCTGAGCTTTGATATTTTTGTCGTCGGTGTTTCATCATAGGGCTTGGTGACATTTTCAGCAATAACTTCATAAAGAAAGGAAATATATTCGAATGTTACACGAATGTTTAGATAGTGTTTCTATTGACCTTGAGTATTGTCCAATTGTAAGTTGAAGACAAGATTTTTTCTCACCCTAACCTCTTTGACCTTAAATTTTTCTTCGGTCACATTGTTAGATAATCTTTGTTAGAGTGGAATTGTGCTGTTTGCTGCTGTCACGATATGTATCATTACTGATTTGTTTGGTCAATTTACCCTTGGTTGGCTGTTTTCCTTTTTTTCTAAGTATATTATAGATTGTGTCTACATTCACATGTCTGTTGATTGACTTCTCATTTAAATGCTATGCTTCTAGAAATTCTCTTGCAACTTTTTAACTTGCTGTTTGGAAAATTTCTGAATTTTCCTAGTTGGATTTGTGGTCGTTATTGTCTGCATGCCTTGAAACCAAGGAGGCTATGTCATATCGTATTACTGCTAGTTGATGTTCATGAATTCTTTAAGCAATCCGATGGCTAGACTGGTCAGCATAATGCTGTGAACAATCTTTACAGTTGATTTTGTAGATTATATTTGTCCTGTCTTCTTTTGACAATTGATCCTTTGGTTTGCACAGCATACTGTGTAGTGATTTCGTTGACTTACGTGCTGTTCTGATTCCTAAAACTCGAAGCAATCGGTTGACTTTCTGTGATATCTTTAATGTAGAGTGGTGTAACGCCCCTACTGATTTAGCTCAATTACTTTGTCTTCTGTCCTGCTGATAAACACTTTTTGATAAAGTTGGATGGACAGTCATTTACTTAGAACACCTTGTACAGGTATTTTTCTTCATCTGGAATGTGTTTTGGCTCTTGAGAATAATGTTTGTACACACCATGTCTTATGAACTGCAGGATGATTGCCGTTGTAGTTCAAAATGTGATCTGTGTATGAGGTTCTCTTTTACACTTAGGTTTTCAAAGTCCCATTGTGTGTTCTGCTGACGAGGACATCTAAGAATGGAATTTTGCTGTCGAAATCCTCCTCTTTTGTCTAGTGAATTCCCTCAAATGTTTAGTTGATTAACTTGAACGTGTTTTCTATTTCATCTTTCTTGAGAATTACGAATGTGTCGTCAGTGTACCGAATCCAAATTTTTGGCTTGATGAGAAGGATGACTTCTGATTTCAGTCGCTGCATCACAGTTCCAGTAATCATTCCTGATAATAGGGATCCCATAGATCTCCCTTTTTGTCTGTAAGTCTTCCCATTGAATTGTAAATAAGTTGTGAGGCAGATCGACTATCTCTACTAGGTTCGGCATCATGAATTTTGTATGATCAGAAAGGGTTTGGTCGTTTTTCAGAAGAATATCCATCGTCTCCTTGGCTAGATTTCAGTCAATCGATCCGTGTTCTACATTCACATATGTTACATCAGGTGTATTACTGAGTTGTGTTATATTAGCGGTGAATCTATGTTGCATCTAGATAGGTAGTCCTTAGTACGTGATATAGGATTCACTATGAGGTTCGGGCATCTGTCAAATAAATCAGTTATTATCAATTCTAAAGGCTGTTTTAGGGTTAATCCTATGACTTGTTTCTGTATAATCTGCTTACACCTTTCGAAGATGCTATCTGTCGATTCAGTGCTTACTTTTATTCTGTTTCACAATAATTAACTTTTTCTACATGTATCATTTTTAGGTAATGAATTTATCCGGTGGTGAATTACAAAGATTAGCTATCACACTTTGTCTTGGACAACCTGCTGATGTCTACCTGATTGATGAACCTTCAGCCTATTTGGATTCAGAACAGCGTTTACACGCCGCCAAGGTTATAAAACGCTTTATACTACATGCAAAGAAGACAGCTTTTATTGTAGAACATGATTTTATTATGGCTACATATTTAGCTGATCGAGTTGTAGTATTCACTGGTCAACCTGGCATTAAAGCTACAGCTACAACGTAAGTGTTTAGTTAGCATTTTGTATGTTAATAATATTTATTTGTATGCGTATATCACCAACAAAAATGACTCGGATGTATTCAATCCGTCGTTAAATATTTCGGTATAGATATGTCTAACAATTAAAATCTGAGCATTTTTGTGTTGTGTATAAAACGGGTTACTTTATATCTCATTTGGATACTTCATACGCTTTTTAACTGATAAATAGGTAAAGAAGATGAATGTTTGATAAGTATGCTTAACAATCCGTTGCTTTTCTCGCTTATTACTGACTTGTTTTTGATTGAATGAATTCAAGGATGTAGAAGAATTTTTTATGGTAAACACACAACTACGTTGGGATACGATTTACTACACTTCTCAGAGTCTACAGAAAGTGGGATATCAATTGGAAATGTTACAGGTATATCGTTACGAATCAGAAAAGTGACGTTGAAAGAAGGAAGTCGAGAATTTAGTAGTAATATGACCAAAGTCCAACGGACATCGTGCTACGAAACCTTAGTATTTTCAGTTTCTGGTTCCTAATGCCTCGAGAACCCCAGTCAAAAACCTAATCTCATCCCTACAGTTAACACCAAAGACTAGTGACATCATAGGCTGACTTTGTCTTGGTAAAACTATCTTGATTGCCTATTCATACCTCGCCTGAATGGGTTATTATGACCCGATCCGGTAATTTGTGACTCTTTATTTGCGTGGCCTAATCACCTCAGATGGGTCAGATCTATAACTTCAAATAACTAGCGTTCTTGCCTGGAATCTACATCTAATGTTATCAATGTTTACAAGGTACTGTCACCCAGCTCGAGAAATGCCCAGTTTACACTCATGATTGAGTACATCTACCTTTTACTGTGCTACTTATCTTCAATGACCACTACTCAATGGTAGTAGGGGAACAAGAGGTAGGCCATTATTACGTGTATTCATTGCCTAACTAACAACTGTTGGTTTATTTCATCTACAGCACAGGTGGCGATGTTTTCAGAATCGTAAGGGAGTGTTGTGTATCTGTTCCGGACTAGTACTACACATGGCACCAATTAATGATGTTTCTGACTCTTGATCTAATCCGTATAGATTACCTGGTTGGCAACATTGAAATCACTGCAACTGTTGTGATGTGGCAGGGAATTGCTTGCAACGCTGTAGATTTATAGACCTCTTATTTTCTTAAAATTTGTAAGGATTTTCACGAGCTTTTCATTTATTCCTACTTTAATGTCTTTCTTCTATCCCCTAATTTCTTACTGAATGGTACTGTGAAGCGGCGCAGCTTAAACTGACGCACTTGTTCGCAAGATTCTATGCTGATTTGTCTGTTTGCTCTCATTTTTGACCACTTCACTTACTTGCGGAGTTACATGAGCTCGAACGGACTGGTTGCTGATGAAATCTTAGCTCGCATACAGAAGGCATGTCTCACGTTTGGCAACTTGCGTCATCTATGTCGCCGGCCAGCAAGATATCTGACCGTCTATCAAAGGGCGAGTATATTGCTCTGCAGTTCGTTCTGTCCTGTTATACGTTTGTGAGACGGCCGTTAGAAGTAGAAGATATGAAGCAGTTACAGGGTTTCAGTCACAGATCTCTTAGTAGCATTGCTAGCATATAGTGGAATCACTATGTAAGCAATGTCTTAGTCAAACGAAGGGTAATTAGGCGAGACAGACAAGTTGGCCGATGACGCTGTGAACCTTTATTGACTGAGATGGCTTCGACATGTGCTGCGCATACCGAGCCACCGCCTACCTAGGTGTGCCATGCTATGGGAGGTTGGATTATGTTAAAAGAGAGTTCAGTGTGAACAGACCAAAACGTAGGACTAGTGCATGAAATCCTTGACTGTTGGTGTGAGTCATGTAGAGAGATGTAGACTATCTGGCTGGCGTTCCCAAGACGACAGGAATCAGTGGTTGATGTGTTCACTTGTCGATGTCTTCTAAAGTCTGGATATTCGCACGAACCTTTGTCTGTAGATTGTTTATTCTCTCACATCGCTTCATCTTCTTTGATATCACTCTTTTTCTATCCACCTCTTTGTATATTACTGTGAAATGTAGCAATTGGAATGGATACATTTGCGTACGAAGTTCTACGTTGATTTGTCTATCTGTCTTTCGTCATATTACATAATCCTCTGTTTATTTTTAATGTTGATAAGCTTTTTCCGTTATATGTAAGCGTTCTATGAACCTATAGAATAACCGTAGTCGTTCTATATCAGCTTTATTGTTAAATGATTAGACAATGACACTGTAATGTTTAATTATAGTAGTTGATATTTATCTGTCATATTTTAAAAGGTTAGAGTGTATTTTACTTAGAATCTAGTACCAATCGTATTACAGTGGAAAGTTTTCATTTGCTGTTCAGAAACTGATCAATACAATAAACGTATAAATTTTGGTCTCGATTATGGTTATAACATTCTTTAAACTGCACGTGATTCTATGTCCCTAGTTACTTTTGGTAACATAAACTACAGTGATATTTCTTGAATTTTTAAAATGAATCATATAATATGCAGTAATTTCTGCTTATGTTAATCACCTGTTCTTTCTATTGATACAGACCACAAAATCTTGTAACTGGTATGAACAAATTTCTTCAATCTCTTGATATTACATTCCGAAGAGATCCGACTAATGCTAGACCACGGATAAATAAACTGAATTCAGTTAAAGACGTTGATCAGAAAAAGGGTGGGAATTATTTCTTCCTTGGAGATTAGATTTCTTCTGATTTCTATATCCATCCCCTTCATGTTTTCTATCCTTCTTTTTCTTTATTTGTCCAGGACCTGTGTAATATGTGAATTGTTTTATTTTTTGTGACGAATATCCCTTTCTTTTTTGATCAAGTTATATATAACACAACTGCTGGAATAACACTTTGATTCTGTACAAAACTTCTTTCAGGGTTTAGAGAGGATTTACGCGACAAATTGCTTATTTATTCACATAGTAATTAATTCATGTTACGTATAACTGCAGGACATGCGATCGATGTGGATATATCATAGTTATGCAGTGGTCTTATGTCCTTAAGAGGTCGAACACTATGTCTAAAGAACTTTCATCCTTCGTAGTTGTGGATCTCAAGCCAAACTTATGAACTAAACCTTTTTCTGAAGATATGTAGTCGTTCGAATCAGTTATCATCTGATTTTCGACCAGCTTTTTTGAAGAATATAACTCCTAAGAATCCGCTTATTGCATTTTAATCTACAGTAAACAACATGATAACCTTTATCATGGCTAAATTGACATTTGAGGATGCAGTTTGTCCGGTAGTTTATCTCACTACATGATTATTTTAGCTGCATCTTTACTTCCATGCTATCCAACTGATTTTACAGTCTAAATTCTGATTAAATATGTCGATTTCTCGCAACACGTCTGTCTATTAGTGCAGCAAGTATATCACTTTTTAATAAAAGTTTTATGTCGACCAGTCACCTTTTTACAAAGTTGATACAATCACAAAAATAACATCCACTGAGTACAGTGAACCCTAATAAAACTAAAGCAGCTCCACAGCTGCGTATTGATTCATGTGTGAAAGGTGTCGAACCCATGAGTTGTGGAACGATGTTCAAGCGAAAGTTGAACGTCTAACATAATCACAAATCTACTCAAAGTGGAAAGATAAATATTTGAGTAACCCCAATTACACGTTTATAATAAAGTGAAGCAATCAATGATCTGTCATTCTCTTCAACCGTAAACTGGCACTTGAACAGATTTCAAAATTGAAACAGGAAGCATTTGTATCCGTTTTCTCTAAATTGTGTGCTTCTTTAATTGATATCAGTCTGGAGAAAAAGCTTTTGTAAGTCATATTACAGTCATTCGACTGGGTGACAGATCAAACTCAAAGGCTTCAGATCTCACATATTCATGCAATCATTGAGTGAGTCCCTGCGTACAGTGATTCATATTTCCTGACTTTAATCGGTCGGGATATGTGAAACCAACTGAATTAAGAATGAAAATCGAATGATGAATGTACCATGTTGTGTTGACTAAATTCTGAAGATTCTAGTTATACAGCTATGACTCCCAGCGTACTCACTTCGAAAAGACGCAAAAAATCAACACAGGACCAGCCGTTTAAGCGTAATGGTTGAAATTCCCACGTCTTATATCAGTATATGAAGTGAGAAAGTACTAAGATGGAACATAACGAAATGAACAAGTAGTCAAAAGTGGTAGAAAGTAGTAATACGAGGAAATATTGATTTCGGCATGTAAATTTAGATAGAGATGACAGGTAGATACATCTGCCCCACTAAAGTCGATTCCTAGCCATGTCACAAAGTCTCCAACTACTGGTTTCTGTTCTCATATGAGTCCCAGTCGGGGAGTTAAGTTTCTGTGCGGCTTGAACCGACAGTCAAAGACTGATGTCGTGTCCTAATGCGACTACCCATAACCTTTTCGCAGACTAAATCTACTTCAAAGAAAAATGTGCGTCGAGGTAGATGGTGACTAGGCATGCTTAACACAGCCTTCAGCCACTTGAATCAATGAAGGTTCATAACCCCATAGACTGACTTACCTATTGAATCCAAAACTCTAGGCCTGATTTCTGAAGTGATGACATCACGATACATGGTCCATGATACGAAGGCAACGGTGGTCAAATACCTGGAGCCTACTCATATCTTCTACCTTTAATAGTTATGTTTCACAGCTATATAGTAGGACAGAACGAGCTGTGGTGCAGTGCACTTTACCCTTAACAGGCAGATTGGTATCAAGGCGCCGCCATAAATGGCGTAAGATGTCGACAGCCATGTAAGCCTCTTTTATCCGTGCAGAAATTTTGCGAATCAATAACCTACGCGAGCTGTTAAATTCCTAGTTAAATGAAATGGTCAGTGGGTTTAACCATTCCACTCGCCAGTATTAAACGGAACCACTAAAGATGTTTTTTCTGGAGCAGCAAATTCTTGGTCGATCGCAAACGCACCTCAAATTACAGCTAAAGCTGCATCTTATCAGTGTCTTTACCTAATAGGACTATGTTATCTGCATGCTCTAGATCTACCAAGGACTCTTCTGTGATAAGATCGATCCCTGTAAAGATAGATGACGATACGAACTGACGGAAGAAATTAAAGTGGAACCTCTTACTCAGGTGCATCGATTCAAGTTGTGACGTTTCACAGTAGTACACTGAGAACAGGTGGATAGAAAATGAGTAATACCAAAGAAGATAAAGTAGTATGAGAGAACCAACAATCCAAAGATAAAGGTTGGTGAGAATATTCAATAAAAAAAGACGTCAAGGAGTGGAAACATCTGGCCCATTGTGACCAGTTTTCAGCTGTCATAAAGAGTCTTCAACCACGAACTCCTGTCATCCCGGAAACGCCAACCAGACAGTCTACATCTCTCCACTGGACTCAGATCAACAGTCAGGGACTTCACGGACTGGTGCACGTCAAGGTATGCGGTGACTGGGCATGCGCAACATGTTTAAACCACCCCAATCGATGCAGGTTCACAACCTCACCAATCGAATTGCCTAGTACCCTTCGCCTGACTTGAACATTTCTCACACGTGATCAATGCTACGAAGAGACCTATGATGAAGATTCTGTAACTTTATATCTTCTTTAGCGGCGATGTCTCAGCCGCGAAAGTGAACAAACAGAACTGCAGCGCAGTATACTTCTTTTGTGATAGAAAGTCGCATATCGCGCCGGCGAAAAGGAGACTTCCACAAGTACATCTATCATAAAATTATTTAGGAATGGAGAAAGTAGAGATCCTTGATGGACACCCACCGTACACAAACGCACATGACAACTCACCATAGGCTCAAACCTGCTTGGGTGTGTCACAGTACGGAACCTCCAACAAAGTCGTGCACTCACTCCAGAATTATTTGGGGGATATTTCCAAAAAGCATCTGGATCGGTGGAGTCGAACGCTACCTTCAGGGTGAAAAATACCAGTACTGTTGGGTGCCGCTAGGTGTGAATTTTTTCCGTTCCTCGGCGGAGAGTGAATGTCTGGTTGAAGCACTCACGTTCATGTTTATAAGCTGGCCGGTCTCCTCACGCTTTCTGTTCCCGAGCTCCACTTAAACGTCTAACGATCACAGAACCTAGATACTGTTTGTCAGACTGGTTCCCCTGAGGACTTTTCGCCTTTCTCGAAGACTGTGACAATCATGATTTAGATCAACCACAGGTGATCATATATGACTCGCATGCACTAGTTAGCAGTTCAGTTAATTTGATCAATAATTTTCTACCATCGTCCTCAAACAGCTGGTACTAGCTCGTTGGCCCTGCTGCTCTTCCTCTTTCGAGGTCACCTACAACTTTTCTGACTACCGTGAATGTTGGGGGTCCCATCACGATGATCTACTTAGGATTGCGGAAGCAGGATGGTAGCTCGAAGCCAGTTGCATTGTTCCATCAGCCTCTTGTGCGAGTGAACCGTAGATCCATTCTTCTCAGCAAGTCTCACTAAACTGTCCCTTGCCGCAGCTGCCTTTTCTATCTCTTTAGCCTTCGCTGCCCACTACTGTTCACGGTTATTGCGTAGACTTCTAGTCAGTCTACATCTGAGTTACTTCTACTCTTCATTGTGCTAGGAGGCTGTGTCCACGTACATCCATTAGTTCAGAAGCTGGTGCGATCCCCTATCCCCTTTTAAGAGTACGGTGCGGTTTTTACAGCAGACTGGAGATGGTGCCTGGCTTTTTCTGGATACTGTGTTCCGATAACTATCTGACCAGTTTGTTGCTGAAAGCAGCCTTAGTGTTCTCATTGTCTAGCTTAACTCAGAATGGTACATTTGGTAAAGTTTTTCTGCGTCCATTTAAGTGCAGACATATACATAGTTGCTGTCCAAGCACATGCTTCAAAAGGAGCGGCAATCTTAGAGCGACAGATAACTGCAATATGGTATCTGCGTCCGGCACTGAATTGAGGTCGATGGACACCACGTCGGATATTGTCTCGCTTAACCTCTGAAGTTCATGTCAACCGTAGAGAGATGGTTGTCTGTTTGTTCAGTTGGGCTTCCGAAACAGTCACCTAGATGCTTTTCTGCTTAATTAACCTACCCACTAGTGAATTCGAATCATCTGGAACAACCATGTGTGAAAATTTGTCTTTCAGGAGAAGGTCAGACAGTTTCCGGTAAAACTCATTTTTCATTTCTTCCCAGCTGTAGTCAGTGTGTGCGTAAGTAGAGATTACAGAGACGACGGCGAGTTTTACCGCTCTTTTTAGTTCTAAATATGCCGTTTAGTCAAACACCCCAAACATGACTGTCAACTTGGATCCAGTCGGGTAGTATATCTTCTGCTTGAGCACCTAGTGCTGTACCTAAACCTTCAAGACCACGAGAACTAGCCATCGAATCTCCAGAAACTTGAATGGTGAATTTCGCAGTTACCATATATTGATTGGGTGGAGTTAAGTGAATAATCACATGAGTTTTGCATGCGTGTCTCACAAACACGGCATCGATATTCCGAGATGTTACTGTTACATCAGATACCTAGGAACACTGGTTTTGTATGTTAACCTGTGCACACATCAAGGCCTTAGAAGCAGATTGTATTTTTGTATTCTCAGTGGATAACCGGAATCTTCTACAACGCAGTATCTCCACGTGATGTATCTTACCTTTGGTTCTGCAGATCTATAGAATCATTCGATAGACGTATATCTCACACGACCGAAACTGATCATGGGATAACCATAACTATTAATTCTCGCCACTCATTTTTCTGACATTAGAGTATCAAAATTGCATTTGATAAAATGATTATTAAGACCAATTAACATTCACTTTACCAAGTTTGGATTATGCGTTAGGCAACCTTCAGGGCCTCTGAAGATGACAACTGACTACATAGAGTTTATTAGCCACCAGATACATGGTTTTGGGAATTATACTATTCATGAAGTGGAATACTGTTATCCGATTAGAGAAAAAGAAATTTAGAATCTGGAATTCTATCTCAAGCACATCACGACATAGTGATGTATTCCATTTTAAGACTAGCAGAGCTATGCATATCCGTTCATGTGTTCTACGATTTGTAAGGCTAAACTAAATTATACTAGATAATCAAAGAGAATCTCTTGGTTTTTTCACCGTCTCAGTTGAACTGAACAGTTGTCGAAAAATAGGATAGACATTTGCTAGTTTTCATTATTTTTTCTTGATATTACTAGCTTATTGCAGATCCGTAAGGATCAATCGTGACCAACTAACCGGTCAACGTTTGAACAAATAGATAAAGCTCTCAACTAGGTCAACCACTTGGTCATTTTCATTAACCTGTCTACTTTTACTGTTCGCCACTTTAACGTCATTTTTTCTATTATCCACCACTTCGCATGCTGCTGTGAAGTGCGGCATCTCGAGCTGATGCACTTTTGCGCCCAGTTCTACTACGTTCGGTTTGTTTGAACCATGTTAAAACCGATTAAATATATATGAACAATTTTACCATACCATAGCAAACTTGCATATTATTTACATTACCGTGGAAAAGTTTACCTGATAACCGTAAACGTGAACATATAATTCGGCATAAGAATGAATGTCTTCCTAAACTAAAGGGATGACACTTGATTTGCTTCGCTCACGATGCATTATTCGTCATCCGACTGTAGAAGAGCGATGTGAACATCGTCTTTCCCAGTAAACCTTCTGCATAGAACTGGGTTCTGTTCTGTTATACGGCTGTAAGACATCGCTGCTAAAGAAGAAATAAAGTTACAGAATCTTCATCATAGGTCTCTTCGTAGCATTGATCACGTGTGAGAAATGTTCAAGTCAGGCGAAGGGTACTAGGCAAGTCGATTGGTGAGGTTGTGAACCTGCATCGATTGGGGTGGTTTAAACATGTTGCGCATGCCCAGTCACCGCATACCTTGACGTGCACCAGTCCGTGAAGTCCCTGACTGTTGATCTGAGTCCAGTGGAGAGATGTAGACTGTCTGGTTGGCGTTTCCGGGATGACAGGAGTTCGTGGTTGAAGACTCTTTATGACAGCTGAAAACTGGTCACAATGGGCCAGATGTTTCCACTCCTTGACGTCTTTTTTTATTGAATATTCTCACCAACCTTTATCTTTGGATTGTTGGTTCTCTCATACTACTTTATCTTCTTTGGTATTACTCATTTTCTATCCACCTGTTCTCAGTGTACTACTGTGAAACGTCACAACTTGAACCAATGCACTTGTGTGCGAGGTCCTAGATTGATTTTACGTGTCAGTCTGTCATAGTCAATAAATGGCACAAGGAGTAATGCTGTAAACACTTATACATGCATATTTATTTAGCATCTCAAAGTAACATCATAGAGTCAAAACACCAGAAGGCAATAACTTGAGAGCGAATGATATTTCAAAATAGTGCACAAAAAGTAATGACAATAACACTATTGTTACTGACTTTCAAATCGTTTTTTTCCGACTATATTTTGAGTTCTTTTGAAATGCACATATATCAAAGTACAGGAATTCATCAATTACATGTTGAAAGTAACGACAATTTTATCTGTACAATGTCATTCACACAAGAGAGGAAGTGATGACATGATATCAAGTCTTTAAATATCTGGTCATTTACATACACTGCTTTCAAAAAACCGAAACATGATAATATGAGTCCCAAATATGAAAGCCAAGGTACACGTGCCGTGTGGAAAATTTCATTTGTAAACGGGAGAAAAAGGAATAAGAGATGAAGTAAGAAATAATCAAAAATTCATTAAAATTAGTACAAAATTTACACATTCGGAATTTTCTCTGCATATTTTTTAGTGAACTCTTCAGCATTTTTTAAAAACTTTTTAAGATCCTTAGCATATTCCTCAGCTAAATCTGAACGAAGAGCATGTTCCACTTCAGGAGCATGAACCATTGCAACCAGCGCCTGAATCACTGTAAATGAAACAAATAAGAAGTATTTTAAGGATCAATTCTCAAGCGTAACACTAAGTTCATGTAAAACTGTGACCGCGGAACAATAGGTCCGAACTCGTTCCACCAGTGGTGTATCAAAAGCACTACGGTTAATTAATTGAACTGACGAGCGACGAATCAAACTTTCCTATGCTAATCAGACACAAATCATTAACTACAACTGTTTGTACTACTTACTGGGGAGCAATATTGTACAACAAACACTCTAGAGACTGAACTAAGCAACTCATCTTGACCGTGACTCAATGTTATGCCTAGACTACTGAAACCTGGATTTCACTAGCTGATACATTTTCCGCTGTATTACGTTTATTTTCTTAGTGTCACAGTGGAAATGATGAGTGCTTAGAACTCTTACAAACGCCAGGCTATGACTTGAGATAAAATTATGAGGTGTTTAAAACGTAATGAGTTAAATTTTACAACCTTTAATTCGATGATGGCAACAAACTTTTAACCTAAGCTATCCGGAATACTAAACGGAGACCTAGTAGCTCTTACCTTAAATACGTTGTAGATCATTAAGTCTAGACGAACAGACCTCTACCATCGTACAACAAGATTCAAACAAAACTTTGATTTAGTGATTATGTTGGATTTATGTGAGGGCTGCAGCTTACAGTCTGATGCGAAAATGTGTGTGCAGATGTTTAATACTTTCCAATTGCTCATACCGTGGAAAGGATATTTCTTTTCCAAATAACTGCGGAAGAAACTGGTAGAATGACGTCATAACGGGTAACATAAAGTCCGTGTAGGTATTTGTGATTTAGATTTAATAATCACATCCGTTTTTTCTAAGGCTTTAACGTTTACACAAAAACCTGTGGTTACCATCCACTGAGTGATTCATATACAGGATTTAGGGGACCGGTTGTGACCTGAGTAGTTCATTGGTGTAAGTGAAAAAGATCCGAATCACCAGTTTTCTCATGGTTGTAGAGATGTTTTGCTGATGAGCGTTAAACCTAAACCAACAGATTCTTGTCGACTGGCATTAAATTCGCTGAGTTTATTTAACCAGAACAGTGAGCACAATTCTGTTTACTATCAAGAATCGGAAATTAGGTAGCTGCATATCAGTCTCCAACTATTGCTATTCATCGCCCGTATCTACTAATGAAGTAATTAAAATTTTTTGACTGTAGTCATTAGAAAACGGAACACCTTACAGAATGGACGTATGGTATTAACTTTGCAGTTCAAAGGCGATTTGTGTCATATGACATAAAAACGAAAGTCTATCCCTTAAAACTCCCCCCGTAAATTTGGGCACTCTAGACAGCGGATGAAAGTGCAAATCACAGCTAGGAAATTGAGTTAGCACTTCTATTATTGCTACTTTGACTACTAGATACTGAAGTTATGAAGCTAACAAGAGTTAAGTATTCTACTTTACATACTCAAATCATAGGATTTGTCTGCAACTGAACAAAACAGCTGGGTAGAAAAATAATTTCACGGGACAGGACGTTAGTTTAATCAAAAAATACAGCAAAAACTGTCAACAATTCCTCGCCTGGAAAAAAATTGGCTTATGCATCATAATGCTCATCGTTTAAACCTCCATTCCGACTTTAATCTCTAATAAGTGTAATATCTCACCATGTTCCACTTTGGTGGCAGGTTTCCAGTTCTCCGGATTGATTATTGGCAAACAGATTTGACCCTTTTCATCAATATTCGGATGATATATGCGAGTTTTAAAAATCACTTTCGGAGGTTTGAATGGATATTCAACTGGAAATGTGATTTCAATCTTAAAAGCTCCCTTGTTGTATGGAGGTTCATCCTAAAGCAAAATAAAACACATCGCGAGTGAACGCACCAATATTCTCACACAAGTAAATGAGTAAAAACTCCGCATTCATGCATCATTTGTGAAGGGGATAATTAGTTGTATTTAGTTAAGTCACATACTGAAATAGGTATTTGCACACTACTACTTTACCCAATTACAAACAGTCTATTCGACTAATTATATCATAATCTCGTATACATTAGCATAATAATTCTACAATTCGATTATAGCTGAGTTATCTAGCGGAAATTTCATGTCCTATAGCTATCAAAAACAGCGCATATACCATCGTTTTTTGAGTGGATTCAGTCCGTCATTATAAGTTGTTTGAAAATGCCACATGCCAATACAGTATGATCCATCTTTTCGAGATGATACTTTTCTGTTTTCATTCTATGTACTAAAAATATTTTTATTTCGGAAACAGATAAAATCTAAAGCCACGTTGTCAGTAGTTTAGCTACAGACTCATCAACGTTCTTCGTTATCAGTAATGAGCTCAATGTCTACACACTTGTTTTACAGACTTTTGGTCAGAGTTATATCCGCAGCACTGTTCGCGTACGATGAAATCACAATGTGAGCAATATTGGGGTTAGGCAAGGAAGACAAGTCAACCGATGAAGTCGTGAACCTTAGTCAACTGAGATGGTTTGGATACATGTTGCGCATGTCGAGACGCTGCCTACCTCGACGTATCATGCTACGGGAAGTTGGATTATGTTGGAAGACCTGGTACCAGTCGATGAAGTCTCTAACTGATGGTCTGAGCCGTGTGGTGCGATGTAGACTGCCTGGTTGAGGTCCCTGAAACAATAGGAATCAGTGGTTGACGACTCTTGGTGACATGGCTGAAAATCGGTCACAATGGTGCAGATGTTATCACTCCACGACGTTTGTTAAAGCTTGATTATTTTGAAGAGCTTTGATTTTTGAATTCCCTCTTCTCACACACCTTCGTCCACTTCGATATCAGTCTTTTTCTAACCACTTGTCCTTTGTATACTGCTGTAAAGTGTGGTAACTTGAACCAATGCACTTGTGTCCGAGGTTCTACGTTGTTTGTGTCTGTCTAACCGCTACCACTAACATGAATCCAATTCAGTAATTTGTTAGTTTGTCACCAAATGTATGACTGCCTATAATATAACCCTGCTACTCAATTTGAAGTCGGGTGGAGCGAGTTTGAACCTATAGCCCAGTAACTGTTTTATAAACGTTTGCAGCAATTACAAATATATCAGTATTGCAACCTATAAAATAAGCCTTGATTGCATCACTTTAATGATTCCATAAAATTCATTAATTTTTAAAATCCGAAAGGTTAAGAATCAACGAAACTAACGATTATGTATGAAATCAGAGCTACTATGCGCATAATACGCAATTTGTTTCAGTCGAGTGAAACATAACAAACGTTCAGATGATTAAACCTAGCACATCAATAAATTATGAATATGAATCAAACGAGAGCGTAACTTACCGGTACTATAAATCCTGTCCACGTTAAGAAATTGGGCTCTTCATATTTCACATTTCTAATCACATTCTTGATGCTTGAATTGATGAGGGTTTCATATTCCTTTTAGTAAAATAGAAAATAATTAATGCATTACTGGTGTGAAATACTACTGTTTCTTTTTGAATTAAAACTCCCAGGATTAGACGCAAATCCTTAGACAAAATCCAACCTCAAGCTGTTGATTATCGCAAATCTTTTTAAAGATTTACTTTAGTGACTGTTTCAAATACTAAAATGACAAGTGGAATTAAAATCTAATATCTTAATTCATCACATTTAGAAAAAAGTAGACGAGAAAATAAATCAGGATGAGATAGTGAGAAAATGCTCCTAGAATAAGTCATTTATTCACAACGGCTAGCAATGACTGGAAGCCGTTTTGGCTTGTCCGAGCCACAAATAGCAAGGTGTCAGTGAGGTAGTTCGTAAGGTAAATGGTTCACTGATCAATAACTTTCGTAGACACCTGGAACGCTGGACAAGCACTTCGTAAACTAATGTATCTGACCTTTCGCTTCTAGAACATCGACTTCAATGTTTTGGGCTATTTGACCAGTTAATATCGATCCTCCAAACGTAACTGTCTGAAAGAAAATAAAGCGCCACAAGGCACCTAACGCAAACAGCTGACAGTAGGTAATTTTTAACGTGGAGGGTAAGACTGTAGCTCAGGAACTGAATACGTATTGTTTTCGAAGGTGTAACCAAGTGAGTGTTCCATCAGTTCAGTTAGATTTTCCGGTGTTAAACAGAGTACAGGAATCAGATATGATTCCCTCTGACTGACCTTAATCAGTGTATCCCAGTTTTCAAAGGCAAAGAAAGCTTCTTGTGATAACTTCAGAGAGAGTCATTCTGACAGTGTTTAAGACCTTAGGTTCTGAAATCTTTAGATGTTTAATTGAAGCTCGAAAGAAGCAAACCTAGGAAAGCTAGGCTGAAATAAAGCTTATTCGTGTGCACCGAAAACCACTCTCCACAGGATCTTGGAACACGCTTACCGTAAACCAACACTAGATGAAGACAGCATTCGACTCCGTTAATCTTATGGCAGTATCGTTCGCTGAAAGGAATGCTGGGTAAGTACATCGCTTTACTAACAGCTCTGTATTTCGACACCCGCGGGTATGTTAGAGACTAAAGTGAGACACCAAGCGAACCGTATACGCCGAATGGTTTCCATTAGGGATGTCCATTCTCTTTATTTTTGTTTAACTCTGCCACACACATTTTTATGAAGGCCTCCCTCTCGTTGTCTGACTCGACAGAAATTGATCATATAATAGGAGACACCTTAATAGACGATATTATTTTACACGAAGCCAAAAATATAGTCTTCTGGACAGATTGAGTGGCTGTTGGAAAATGCTTGAGGTGAGTTTTACACCACCTAAGTGGAAATCATTGCCCCAGAACTAGTGCATCGGCGCTCCATATAACACAACGGAGTTAAGTAGTTTAGCGCGTTAACCGCTTCATTTAATTGATAAGTAAGATGAGCCTTGATAGGTCAGAGAACGATGAGGTTTCGGTGAAAGTACAAAAGATAGGCTTCTTCAGTTTTTGCTAATGATATTACCTAAAATGACGGTGATATATTCACAATCAAACCATCCAGCTCAGAGAGCACAATACCATCAAGATCATCCCCTGAGATACAAACATTTTCCATCATCTCAAAATTCCACGAGCGTCAAACGCCCCTTGCTGTTTGGAAATGGAATTCTGTCGAGACAGGCCTTCACAATGACAACCATACTTCTTTCATAAAACACTGCTTACCCTAAGATAATGAGCACAGCTGCACAACTATTATGAATTCTTCATGCCATCGAATATGCTTTTCTACCGTCTTTCATATTTCAAATAACCTAATAGCTTCGAAAACATTCGGACTAAAACTTAGTTACTGTATGAACTAGGAATCTCTTAATCGGAAAGTTCTTATTTCTTTCCCCACTTATTTCGAATCCAAAAAGAGTACACAGATACATATCTACATACACAATAGATGTCGCTCACTACCTACTGCACGTATGTGGACAAGGTGACTGAGTGCGCTCATTTTCATTCATTCAACCTGCCTCAAATAATCAGTGCAGCTCATTGCCTGGTGTATAAACTGGCAGGTAATTGATGAGTTACAGTGGATTCAGTTTAATATTCAAAAAGCGCAATTACTTTTCAGAAAGCCTGTCTTCCAATAATCAAAGACTGACTTCACTGGTGAACATTTGTGTTAGGTAATACGCTACACTTATTGTGCGAAGGTTTATGATACTACCTAGTCCTCCAGTTCGTAGTAGATGGAGGTTCTGAAGCCGCTATCCAATGTCTGGAAGCTAAGTGCTCAATCAAATGAGAAACAATTCATCAATCATATAGTTTGGTCTGTATTACTAATCCTTACTTATTTCCAATCTCAAATATTTTCGTCTGAATCCAGCTTGACTTGATCGTACTTCATAAAGCTAGATTTGTGCAATCAAACAGTACCAGTGAACCCCACAATGGGTTAACCTGACAGATAAGTACCCAAATGTATATGGTAAATAACGAAAGTTAAGTAGAAAGCAATATTACCACTAGCTTTTCAGTGCTGACCGTTCCAGTGCAACGATTCTGATTTAAAAGAACCTAATTTATTACACAACCATGATGCGAATCAAATATAGCACTCGACAAGACTTGCACCATGATCTGTCGAAGTTTGAACTTGAGTGAAAAAGCGAGATGCTAATCGGTGCATCTGTGGTAGTGCTGGAGGTTGGTACTGGATTTTAGTTACAATACGAAGAGACTTTAAGTAATGTTTAAGCAGCTTAACTTGAACTAAATTATTCAACACACTTTATAAGAGAAAAGATGTTACACTGGGAATAAATCTCAGTCATCATCATCATTATCAACATAGGACCAGGCATTACTGCGTAACGGTCCGAGTTGCCACACCTCATATCAGCACATCAAGTAAAAAGGTAGTGAGGTGAAGGATGAAGATAAGTGAATGCAGTCAAAGGAAATATAAAGTACGAGAAGAAAGGAAAGAGGAGTGACAAAATAGTGAGATTCGGTATAGCGTTGTTAAGATGAGGATAATGTGTGTATACATCTGCGCCACTGACTTCGGTTCTGAGCCATATCACCTAGGGTCTCCAACCACTGGTTCCTCTTGTCCCGTGGACCCCAACCACCTAGTCTGCATCGTCCTACATGGCTTAAACCAACAGTCAGAGACTTCATACATTGGTGCCATGTTTTAGTCTGGCCACCTCGGGCCTTTTTCCAGCCTGGACCCACCTCAGCCAACATTGTGTGACGAGGCAATCGGTGACTAGGCATACGTAGTACGTGTCCCAACCATCTCAGTCGATGAAGGTTCACAACCTCGTCAACTGACTTACCTCTTCTCCCTAAAACTCTACACCTAACTTCTGCATTACTCACATGGTGACACCACGGAATACGTCCTATACTACGAAGGCAACGGTGGTCAAACACCTGAAGCCTTTTTGTATCCTCCACTTTCAATGGCCATGTTTCACAGCCATACAGTAGAACAGAGCGGACTGCTGTGCAGTACACGCGACCCTTAATAGACAAACGAATATCACGGCGGCGCCATAGGTGGCGCAAATTGGCAAAAGCCAATCGAGCCTTTTGTATCCGTGCAGAAATCTCATCGGCAACTAACCCACCAGGGTTGATCCTACTTCCCAGGTAAGTGAAGTGGTCAACACACTCAACCACTTCACTCTCTATTGTTAACCGCGGTACCGCTGAAGACCAGTCCTGGAGCAAAAATTTGCATTTGGGTGGTGAAAATCGCATCCCAAACATTCTCAAATTCCCACTCAAAGTGTTCAGAAGACTCTGCATCTTGTCAGCGTCTTCACCTAACAGGACTATGTCATCTGCATATTCTAGATCTAAGGAAAATTCACCTGTGACTGGTCAACGTCTTTGTAATTAGGTGACGAGGGGGAAACCTCCATAAGAATATCTATGATAAAATTAAATAAGAATGGGGATAGTGGGCATCCTTGACGGACACCACTTGATGAGTATAGCTCCCTGGACAACTCACCATAGGCTCTAACATGCCCACAAGTGTTCGAGTAGAGAGCTTTCAATAAGGTGATGTACTTACTAGGCACGCCTTTCAGTGACAGACTGCCATAAGACTTCTCGATCAACGGAGTCAAATGCCGCCTTCAGGTCGAGAAATACAGCTATTGTCGGGCGTCTGTAAGCATGCCTATGTTCCAGGACCTGGCGCAGTGTGAATATTTGGTCGATACATCCACGGCCAGGTCTAAAGCCTGCCTGGTTTTCTCGGGCTTGCTGTTCCCGAGCTCCACTCAGGCGTCGGAGAATTATAGAACTTAGGATCTTAGACACTATGTTCGTCAGGCTGATTCCTCTGTGGTTATCACAGTAATTTGCAGTCAGTGTAGGAATTCTGAACACTCCCAAGAAATTGCAACCCAAAGTCTACAATGTAACAGCTTTCACCCAACAACTTGTGTACCAACACTTCATACTGGATTTACTGCTGATTTTGCAAATTATAATGAAAAAGGGAACACGAGAAAATTAATGCATCCGACTTCAAACTTTCAACCACTGGTAAATATCATGAGGTCAGCTACGAGACAAACTTGCTATCGGATGGAGGAAGAACATGGACTTACGGTTTCTTAAACTAAGTACGGTATACAGTCATAGACAATATAATTAAGTTTTTGATATCCACGTGAGCCTGTGTGATGACATGGGTTTCCAATATCACACAAGTCAGCAGCTGCTGATGTGCTAGTCATTGGTTAAATAAGAGGCGTCAAGTTTTGTCTTGAAAAACCACTCTATACGAAACAGAAACGAAAAATTATATATTACTGTGAGCACTTGGTAGGCAACCTAGGATCGCTAACCGTTTTTCCAAATCATTACGAAGTTCAATAGCATTACTGAATAATTTCTGGGTTAAAATGAGAACCGATCGTTATATGCTTCTTACCAAGTGAACAAGTTCCGCTCTGTATTCCCTACAGTTTTAGAATGGAGATCTCCCACAAGGTAGTGGTTTATCACCTGTATGAACACTTTAAAACTGAAAGATAATTGTAATGAGCTTTTTGGACCTTAGCATTTGACTCCACATAACTCGGTTATCCTCATCAATTCATTTCAAACACGGAACAGCTTTCTAAGATTACCCTCCACCGTGCTTCTTATTACTCACTCCAGTGGTCCTTTAAAAACAAGCTCTAGATGTGAAAGTTGTCCTGGATACGGTAGGTGAGAGAACTACATAAAGTGGTCAGGCTAAAGTGTGCAGACCTCCGGAAAAATACATTACGATTGCATCTTGATGAAAAAGGAAGACTTTCAGGACGATAAGCTACATTTGTGACTAACTTTAACCTATGCAGAAATATCTAAAGGAAAACTTCTAGTTCATTGCAATACTCGCTAATCTTCATTTTAATATGACCTGCAACGGTTGACAGTTTAAAAATACACACCCAGTAGAGGGGATGGTAGAAATAATCTTTAACTGCGCATGTACTAAACATCACAAAACCACCGTTGGTTTTATATCCTTGCTTTTACATTGACCTCGGCTTTCAGTTTTTAGTATTATCATCCACTCATACCATCAAGATGGCAAGCCATCTGGAGAGGATAGATAATGACAAAGTACTTTCAGTTGCATTCTAAGTGACATTTAGCAGCTCCAGACAGGCTATACCCAGCCGGCAAATACTTTGGGCGCACTTTCAAATTTTTGGGTGAAAAAAGGCACCAAGACTTTCGGATAACCGCCGACTATGCATCGTCGCTCCCGAAAATTCCAAATTTGTCAAACTGTGCTCAAAAATTTGCCTAAAAATCCCAAAATGTCTGCAGTGCCCCCGAAGTTTAAAAAATTTGGCATTATAAGAGGTAACAAGTAGTTTATGAAAATACATTTAGTCTGTTCGCATTCTTTGGACCAGTACACGCGATGTGTAACTGCTTATTTAATTGTAGAGTAACGTAATCTTTACAAAGTTTGAATTTTCGGGATAAGTGCCCAAAATGTCTAAGCTGCGCCCAAAGTTGAGTTTGGAATTTAGTCAAAAATGTCAAAGTGCACCCAAAGTCTGCAGACTGGGTAGTCACAATAAATCGTTGCGTTTGGATCGCTATTCACAACCTCTGACCAGCATCTTATCTGACTGTGTAGGATGCAAAAATGTCCACAGAAGTTCCTCAGCTAGATGTTCAAGTTTTTTCCACAAGAATTTGCCAGAACAGCGGCTACTATGTATCACCGTTAGCTGAATCAGTAACGGAGTGCTCAAATTCCTAACTTTTGTGATACCATCCAAAGTAATCAGACGCAGATTGAGTAGGACTATGAAGACTAGTAATTCAATCTATTTTGCTTATGAACATAAAGTAACAAAAGCAAATGCATTGCTGCGTTTTTGTTGGAATCTGTCGCCAAACTCCATGGAAAAAAATACGCACGCGTGCGGTTGAACAACAACAAATAAAGCCTTCTCTAATCGTATATAACAGGTTTAACAGTTATAAAATCTTTGCATAGATCTGTGTCGACACAAAGGTCTCACATAAATATGAGGATAGGGGAGGTATTTGGTCGTCAAACACCAAATCCTCTACATTTTCAAACCAACCTTCTTCAATCTACGAACAGCTGCAGACATTGGCGAGAGCAAAATTACTTCCTCAAAGTATGATACTAGACACCTTTATGACGAACTAGTATGAAACAACCGACTCGCCTGCGCTCGCTTCCGAATGTTAGCCAAGAGGTATGTTAAAACAAATGAAGTTAATTTGGTGTGTTTAAAAAGAAGTGTTTACCTAAAGAAACATTGAATCAGGATATTACCAGGTTTCACCCACTAAAAAAGGTGGCTTAATGGTGACTTGAGTACTTTTATCACAATGGAGGTACGCGAACCAGAGGCGTGCGCTTTGAAAACAAGTAGGGAATTTTCAAACGGTTGACATTTTTGGCTTTTCTTGTGTGATCCACATTAAAGGCTTACTTATCAACCTCGGCCTCAAGTAGTTCAGTCGGCTTTTGAAATCTTATCATTTTTGGGCCTAAGGTTGGTTTTTGTGTTAACACTTAAGTCTTCCTGTCCCAATTTTGACTGGATACTTCGGTTCACATCTGATTCTAGTGAGAATTTCAGCTGAATTGTGAGTAACACGGTTGGCGATAGTCATGTTCACGGTTGACCCAGCTGTGAATCCTTAGTCGACAAAGGTATGTAGTGTGATGCATGTGATGTTGGTTCCATAGGGTTTGTACTGGATTGAGATCAACCGTGTACTAGCTTCGCAGTAAAGCAGCTTCTCTCCAGTCACGTGACTTCTGTTCTAAGCTGTTGTTGGCCCCAATTCAGGAAGCCAACAGAATGTTTCTGGTCAGAAACATTAGTGTAGTGATGATAGCTGTCATTCCAATTCTGCATCAGACGATGATAAATTTTATTGCCAAACGGCCTAGAGGTGGACTGTTGCATTCCAGGGATATAATCGGTGGGATTGCAACGGTTTTGGTGCGTAACCGACTTAAAAGGCGACCGAGGGCGGCTGGTACACCAGATGTGATGCCCGAGGATTCACCGAAAGACAGGGTATCGGTCATCAACTTTGAAGCTAAACGAATCTGGATAGGCTTCCCCAAGGAAGAATTCGAGGAAACCGCCAAAGGTTATCACAGAAGCTACTAAGCTTGCGAGGTCTATCGGCAAAGTTTGGAAGTTTATCAACATGTGATCCACCAACATCCAGCGTGATCTTCTGGGGTGCTGAAGGGTCAGCGGACAGGGACCCTTCAATATGTCATACTCATGATCTGAGGCTAGTTGGGTCGGTCGTCATACGTTTCTCCTGCAAAAGGTCCAGAAGAGTGTGCATCCCCGAAGTAGTCGGATCAGGACAAAACGCATGACAAACCTGATGAGTGGAGGAATTTAAGGGTTGTTCTAGGCGACCAAGAAAGAATGGATTTGCCCCTAAATGGCTCATCCAAACTACGAAATTTGAGCATCCACATCTGACTACTTCGGACTCTCTAGGACCGGAAAAAGGACGAAAGCGACTGTTAAACTTAAAGCCCGATAAATTTGCAAGGCAAACAATCCTAAAACGATAGGTTTTTGTGTTCTGGGGTCTTGAAAAGGAATGCTTCTCAGTCCTACATAGGTGGGTCGTGAAACTCTTCAGACTCAGTGAACATAATTTGCACGGATGTCCTCAGCGTTAGTAAAAAAGTGGCAGCCCGCGAGATTTCGGCTTGTGAACTAGGTCCTAATGCAGTGGCCTTTTCTGAAACCTGGCTAGTGGGGGACTCTTTCCAAAAGGTATGATTCACCCTCCAGACGAAAATTTGCCGCCTGTATGCAGCTTTCCAGTTTGGATCCAACCAAGGATTCGTAAAGTGCGGTGAACATACCACCATTTATTTTTGCAAGCGTTCTGTTTATTGCCTAGTGTGGCCTAGACCTCCGAGCTGAACCAGTCGATAGTTTGCAGTGGCCTTCAAATCATAAGTCACCACCACTCCTAGGTCATTGCGGGTCAGAAATGAGGGCTGAAGATTCCGGCCAGTATTTCGGGTGTTGCGGTTCGTGTGATTCATTTGCATTCTCACACGTTCACCTACATTGACAGGCATCAACCCCATAAAGGAAATGCTAAGTCCTGAATGACGTGCACGCACATGATAGATCAGTGCGCGGCACGTTTGAAATAGTGTTACATTTTGACGTGATTTCGTAACTGCATCGTAGCTTTGTTATTAACGTGGACAAAAAGCTAATTTAGTTTTCATTGACTAATCACGCACCAGGTATGCAACTAGACATGGTTAACGAATTTAAAAAGGCACAAACAAATATCGGCAGAACGGCGCATCAACAGTACCCAAATGCTGGTAACACCGAAAGCGGTTTCCACTTGCAGCAGCATAAATGGGTCAGCCTATACTCAAGTTGTGCTCAGGGGAAAAAGCACTATGTCGGATAAGCCAGTAAACGTTATTAATAGCAGGAGCAACTCTGCAGGTCCAACATGTAATAAGACCACAACACCTAGTGTTGCAGCAGATGTAAAGCTTAGTGGAAACCCCACATTCTTTGTAAGACTAACTAGACTTCTGATACCATGTGTGATATTGTCACTCCTTCCAGAAATCGAAAGCCTGAAGTCCTCTATGGAGGAATTAAGGGTGAAAATAAGCTAACTGAAGGATTTCAAACGAAACAATGCACCACGAGAAAGTATTATAAAAGCCCGGGAAGTATCAAAACAGCTGGATGAAACTAGAGCTCGGATTAGCAATCTCTTGCTACTGAGCATCTTGACGCCTGGTGAATCAACTAATGAAGTTGACATCGAAACACTAACCAAGGTGGATCACCTGGCAAACTTTATCACCGCTGAAGTAAGTAAGAGACTTGCACTTAAACTGACAGCAATAGTTTACAACGCCTCTGACACAACAAAGTTGAAGGCGGTACGCGAAATCTTGCCTGGAACAGCAAACATGCACGATTTCCATGCAAGATGTCTTCGACCAAAAAAGAGCCAGAAGGACCACTGCTGGCTTACAGACCTTCAGTTTAAATCACAGACAGAAGCGGAAGCATTCACCAAAGCAGAATCTATCTTGATAGACAATACCGTCTTTACAGGAATAAAGATAATTCTTGATAAGACAGTGGTAGAGAGGCAGGTATACAACTGACAGTCAAAAGGCACTGAATACTACAACACATTAGGGCAGTAGGCACCTCTTTCAACATACCGAAGCCTAAGACTTCTCCTTCCCCAAACCCTGTAAAGTCAAATACACGGGAAACCACATCGACCAGCGTGGAGACTGAAGACTGCAAAATGCATGGTTTGACTCAACCACCTAGAACTGTAGGTAGAGACATATCTACAGATTGCCCGAAAATAAGACCTGACACTGCACTAAACGTGATAGAACTCTCACTGCAGTCTGCTGGAGGCTTAAAGTCTGCAACTCACACCAGCCCAGGTCCTAGGACATCGGCCACTCGATATGCGACGGATAAACCAATGCTCGCATGGAACCCAACACGTAGAGAAGACGCAGAAAGCATATAATGATCCGAAATCATCCCGTAGTCTCTTCTGGAATTGACAGAAGTACGAACAGTAGCTCCACCAAGAGGGTTCTATGTACCGAGCTACGTCTCGCTGGCAACGAGGACAAAAGTAGACGTCACAACAACCCGACCCTATCATTTACTAATGGGAAAGGCCGGCATTAAACCAACTATAATAGAATGTCAGCGGGTACTTTGCCAGGAACACTGATCGGCTGCATGGCACTGGTTTACTAGGAGACAGCCCCTTATCCAATATAACGCCAGTCACGTCCGTTGTGAAACGAAACAGAAGGCAGTCGCTGGCAAGGAATACGACGTAGAACAGAGGTCTACAACGACCACAAAAACATGATGATTTTTTATCCACTGCATCCCTATCAGCTGCAGCTCTGGCCAAACAACTGATGGGGATGTTGAAACCCCTCACTCTGAGCCGCTAATCTTAGCGCCCTCGGAGCAACAGAAGAGACACAGCAAACCATTCACACAAGTCCTAGACACCAACTACCCAGGCGGCGTCAACAGATACGAAAGCATAACAGGTCTATTGAATTATCTAGGTGGCATCACCAACCGTACACACCTGCCACGTACAATAGTAAAAATAACTACCCTTTGTGTAACAGACATTAGAGGCGACGCTTGCGTGGAGTCAAACTGTTTATTTGGATGCAATGTGCAAATTGAACACAAATAAAAACGTTGCTCCGTTCTCCCCTGATAAAGGTGATGCTATTTCGAGTCATTGTGCTGTCGATTTACCACTAGGATATCCCAGCAACTCTGCAACTAAAAGTGAGCAAGGTGTAAGGACATTTTGTAACGCAACGATGTCAGACTATACTCAATCAAGCGACGCTGAGATACCTTTCGGTCTGTTTAGCGAATAAGAAAGCGTTACACATTATTACTCCCCTTACTTGTACATCGTTCTCATAAAGGCGAGGTCCGTCCTCGGCAAACTATTGGTATCGAGAGGGATCGCGCTCATATATAGGCCGCTATGCGCGACCGACACCAATCAGTCATTGTATTCTATCTAGACATTTCAAGGGCATTTGACACAGTTGATCACTTGCTGTTAATATGGGAATTGATTATCCACTATTGGGATGGATTTAGTCTTTCCTCAGCAATCGCACTCAAGTGGTGAAGGTAGATCCATACACTTCGAAATCCAGAGCAATCACCTCTGGTGTTGTTCAAGGCGGTGCCTTAGGTCCCCTCCTCTTTACTTTGTACGCCGATGACATCTGCAGCTGCTTTACTTACGGTAAACCACTCTTGCTTGCCGATGGCCTCAAAGTTGCATGCACGTTCACCCATGACGATTTATCCCACTCCCAGGCACTAATACAAAGGGAGCTCGATATAATATCCGCATGGTCTGTTGCTTGGAGACCTCAGTTCAATACAGGCCAATGTGGCTGGGCATAATAATAATATATATATTTCATATAACATAGGTTACATGAATACAAACCAGTTTACAGGTTTGATCATTTCGGTAAGGGGAGATGACTATTATGTACAATGCTAAGCTATACATTAGATACCATTATTCATGGCATGTAAAAAGCGTGTTGAAGCAGGCTCAGTTCGAAATTAGGAGTTATTTGGTTATTGTTTGAATCTTCCAATATTCTCGAAGGTGGGGCAGGCGGTACAGTCATAACCTTGGGGTATGT